ATATATTATTTATCACAGTAGATATAAGAATTGCATTTATTGTTATTTTCTCTTTAAATTATTATCATCTGATCTCTTCAAGCTTCTGCTTGCAAATTTGAATAGAAGCTAATCTTTTCTCTGTTTCATTAGAGTGTTCTCATAGTTATCTTCTGACTTCTTCTTCAATGTGATATAATTGACACAGATTGACACTGATTCTTTCTTAGAATGAGAAGATATATAGGTTAATTAGCAGTTGAAAGTGATGTATTCTGATTGATTACAGTTGATACACATATCTTGTTGATGTTGATTAATGACTTCTTCAGAAGCAATCTCAGGAACTTAAAAGCTTATTCAGGCAGTGAAGACTCTTGTTTATATATAGACATTTGAGTCTACTCAATTCATGACATCTGCATTATGATTATTATTCTTTGACACAGATGTATAAGTGACTGAAGTGTAATATTCTCTACTGCTGTTCTGTATACTCTTGAGCTTAATAAGATGATCATTCAATGTTCAGAGTTATATGCAGAAGTCTTCATAAGTTAAGTCTTTATCTACACTTATAAGAGCTTATAGAAGTTCAAAAGGTAATATCTTCTTGAGCATGCTAATCTTTATTTAATTCTTTCAAGATTGATTACCTGCTTCTAGAACCTTAGTGTTGAAGTCTGAAATAAATGTAGTGAGAGAAGTATTTCTCTGTTAACCACTCTGTAATCAATCTAATACCTTCTAATGCATAGCAGTGTCTCTGAACAGAATATTGAGATGTCTTATAATGTTGTCAGATATATATAACACTGATTCACATGTCTTCATTCATGAATGAAACTTCTGTTTCATATAATTCTTCGATCAATTATTGATATATCAGTCTTGATTAGTTAATAAACTGATAATATCTTCATCTACACTTAATTTTATGAGTATTTCCAATCTTTATAATGAATAGAGAGTGAGATAGAAAGTATTAAAATATGTAGAAATGTCTAGATATTTCTTTAACACTTATATTATATTTATATCTGATTCAATCAGTGTTAACATTATCTGTACAGAGGTTTCTTATTGTGATAATCATTGAATTTCTTTGTATTGATATTGTTAAGTTGCATGCATATGACTATCTATTGCTGTTGTAATTTCAACATTACTCAGAGTCACTGTGACACTGTATTTATACTCACATTCAAGAGTTCTTCTATGTTATTGATAGATATAGCTATATCATTCATTAGATGTGTGAAATTAAAAGAAGTGTAATTATATGAATATCTTATACATCTAAGATATCAGAACTCTCAGATCTTTCACTGACATTCTCTTATAAGATCTTATTACAGAGTCAGAGCAACTGATGATTAAGCTTCTATTTAGAGACTCAGTGTTTACTTAACTGATTGTTTATTTCTCTATTTCTTACATATTATTATGTGTTCAGATATCTTCTCAATGAATAATTATTTCTAATAAGAAGATAATAAATGTTTTTCATGTGTAAGAGATCTACACTGAATAGATCAGTATAATATATAGATCTTATAATATAAAAGTGAAAAATATTACAGAAGGAAAAAAAGAGAAAGTGCAGAAATCAGTGATTGAAGTGAATATTTATACATATATATGATGAAGCTTTGAGGTGAAAGAATAGAAATTTCAGAGTGAAAGAACAGAAATTTCATAGGTTTTTCAGCTGAGAATCAGCAACTGAGAATCGGAGCTTTCAGCAGAAATCTATGAAGTGTAATGAAATAGTCTATATAATTGATCGGGCGCAGCCCGCCACATTCACTTTATAGATATTGGAAAAACTTTGAGAATTAAAAGGTTTCAGATAGATATTATAGTCTCTAACTATATATATCTATAATAAAAGAATAATAATAATAATAATAACTACAGACACTCTTACAAAGATATTAATCTTCAAGATTTATAAAAATACTTTAATTAATATGAGAATTGAAACACTTATAGCATGTAAAGCTTTATGAGTATTTTACTATATATAAGACTTAATCAGATCAATATCTTTATATTAATTTTCTTTAATTTCTTAATAACTTCTGGAAGTCTTTTATGAAATATTTAATGAAAAATATTATTATTTTTATATATAATATTCTTTTTCTAATTATAGAATTACTCTACTGAGTTATAAACATCTACTTAGCAGAGTGATAATAAAGATAAGTGTTGAATTCTCTCTCTACAGACTTAACTAGTTCTGTCTAAGTAAGATATTCACTGATTACTCAGGAAATATCTACTATATATAAAAAGTCATACAGTAGCTAAATCTCTATAATACAACTCAACTACTTTATAATATTATCTTTATCAAAGAGATAAAAATTAATCAGATATAATCTATTAAAATAGTTATATACTATTCTTAATTACATTTATTTTATTATTATCTTTTTTTATATATTCTTTTTATTTCTTTTCTATTTACTTATTTAATATATTTATTTTTAAGACTTTGTTTCTTTTCTTTTATCTTGTTATTTTCTAATTGATTTCAAAAGTATCAAAAAATATTAAAAATGCTGTAATTTATAAAAGATTTCTGTATTCTGAGCTGAAACTTTCTGATTTTGCATATTAATAAGCTGAATACAACTAAATTTAATTTTCAGTCTCAGCTTTATTCTTATTTTTATAGAATAATTATTTTTCATTTTTTATTTTAGAAATTTTCTTATTTTACTATTTTTATATCAAATTGAATTATTTTTTATATCATTTCTTAAAAAAAATGATTCATTTTCAGATTTTTTTAATACTAGGTTTTAATGAGACCTATATTAACTTTCAAGAAATATATAAGATCAGATCAAATAAAATCAAAGATGAAATTCATAATTCTATCAGCCAGTCTAAATACAGCTTATAAATTTTGAAAGATAAATGAAAAATAAAGATTTGACTGAGTATTGAGTGAAAAGAGGTATTGTCCGTGTTAAATGATTGAGTATATATAGTCATTATATGTTCAGATTTAACTAAGTACTCTACTCTGTAAAGTAGTATCAGATTTGACAGAGTTTCATTATAAAAGCAGTAATATTATATCTCTCACTCATTCATACTTGTCTTGTCAGGTCACGTGATCTGGCTAACTAATCCTTTTATCATATTACTTTTCACAAGCTAGCAACCTTTCAATCACACAAGCTTTACATCTTTCATAGGTTATGAGACTGATTTTATACAAAATCACTGCTAATTCAGGATTTCTTGTTGATATAATCATTATTTTAACTACTGCTTCATTCAATACATCTATCAGATGTTAAAATCATCTTATTCAATCAGTATTAATACATTTTAAGATCTTGTTAATTAATAATACTACTACTCACTTAAAAAAGAGACTTGCAGAAAATGTCAGGTCACGTGATCTGGCTTACTAATCCTTCCACCATATAACTTTTCACAAGCTAGCAATCTTTCAATCACATAAGCTTTACACCTTTCACAGGTTATGAGACTCATTTTGTGCAAAATCACTGCCAATTCAGAATTTCTTGTCAATATACTCATTATTTGAACTACTGCTTCATTCAATACACTCATCAGGAGTTAAAATCATCTTATTCTATCAGTATTGATGTGTTTGAGATCTTGATGATCAATAATACTACTGCTCACTTAAAAAAGAGGCTTGCAGAAAACACATCACATTTACAAAAAAAAAAGAAAGAAAAGAGAACAATATTGACAAGGATTCAATAAATGAATATCAAGATGGCGGATTCAATACAATCCCGCTCATATATATATTCACAATCTCATGTCCTTTTCACTGAATCAGTTGCAGTTGATAATGATGATGATTCTTCACACTCACGCTCTGCCAGTGAACATCCTCCTGGAGCCTTTGAAAGCTTCATTGATAAATGCCCTGAAACACTCTCTCAATTCAAAGCTGATTTAAATACAGCTCCTGACATGGTCAGGCCGGCCCCTCAATCTACTTGACAGCTTGATGAAGCTGGTTCTCTTGATGAGAATATCGGACACTCAGGTGTCTACTGTTCAGGCGAGGCAATATCAGACCAACTAGACTGACCGTCAGGACCATGAATTTCACATTTGATTCCATTTGGTCTGGTCTCATACATTTCTTGGCGTGAATCCCGCTGGGACTGGCTATCAAAAAAACAGGTAAAGTGACTATATATCAGATCTTAAAATGAAATCATGACTTGAAAAAAATGAGAAAGTGATCTCATTTGATTTCATTTAGTTTCATTCTTGGCATAAAGTTACTATTTTTAGACATTTTAAGGTTTTTTTTAGACTATTTTTAATTTTTTAAAAAGTAACACTTTTTAGTAACACTCAAATGAGATTTAAAGTCATTTAAAGCAATAAAAATAATTTCAATTGAGAAGTGGAAATCATGATCTTATTTGAAAAATGTGACAAGAGTAGACAGTAAGTCTCACTGAGACAGTATGAGACTACTATCTAATGTTAAAACTGTGTAATGGGATCAGTCGAATTGGTAATGAGACTATCAAAAAATCTGGTTCTGGTCCCAGACACGGTCACACGGTCAGTCTAAGACCAACAGATGGAACATCTCAAGATGACATTTGAGATAGAGAAGAAGAGGCGTAGAGTTCTAGAACTTGAACTACAACTGGAAAAACTCCATCAACAGAGATCCTCTACAGATTGACTACAGAATGTCAACAATCATTCTGCCATCACCTCAACAGCTACAACACACAACCTGAAAGTCCTACTCAACAATTGAAGGAATTATGTTCAGAAGAAGATAGAGGAGATACAGGATTCCAAATTCACAGCTGTGGTATTGAATGTTGATCTTCTCATGAAGGAGATCCGTTCGCGGCTTGATTCTTCAAAAGATAAAAAGAATCTGCAGAATACAGATTCTGCGGCCAACTCAGCTATGACAGCTACAACAGCTACGACAGCTACAACGGCCACAATGACTATCAACAACAATACATCGAATTCGGCCCATGGAGGCCGTACTGGACATGGTTGTGGTAGTACTCAAGGAAGCTTCTAAAACCATCAGGGATCGGGAAACTCATCTACATGTTCTGAATGTGAGAGATCTCACTTTGGCACCTGTTGGTTGATCAATTCAGATAGTGCTTCAGATAATTGAAGGATCTACAACACTGTGAGAATAAAGGAATTCAAAGAAAAGAAGGAAAAGAACAATAGTGAGAATGAGACTCAACTATTCATTACAGATGATTCAGAGACCTTTCAGATGACAAACCTTGCAGAGGTTATCAATATGTCAGCCTGTTTTGTGAAACCTCACAAGGATCTCTTCAACAGGCATTTATACATATCAAAAGATGTCATCTTCCAGGAGGACCTTCATCTTGCCAATTCATTGATACTGACTACTTCACACAATCTGAAGGTTCTACTCAATGCAGCCTGTAAAGCAGCTGCAGTGATTCCTTCTGAGACACCAGGCCTACTCACTATGACCTGTCAAGAGACTGCAGTGATTCCTGATTCATCAATTGATGATCTGTTCATTGATGAGAAAATTCAACCTGAGTGTTCATTATTTCTTATACTCACTAATAATTGGTGAATTGACTATGATATCTTCATGAGAATATTTACTCTTTTAGTGCAGAATACACTGAACTCTCTGAAATTCACAGTTGAATCTGATGACTCTTCAACATCTACAAGAAATATCACTATAGTGGAGGAATTAACAGTGAGGGAATCTTCAGTGAGAGACAGTCTTGAAGATCTACTCACTGATTCTGAGATCACTGCATTTCTGATTCTGAAAAACCTCACACATGTCAAAGCTTTCATGAAATGAAAGTATTATTACAAGGCCTGTGTTAAAGAGATCAACTGTTTGAAATATACATGTTGAAAAGAGAATATAAAGAAGATAGAGTGATAGAGAGATAAAAAATGATGTATATCATAACTGGTTTTTCATTGCTACACATTTTCCAGTCATTTTTTGTACCTGTACTTGATTTGAAGACGAATTTTGTATATAGCATTGTGTATATTTACTCTGGTGAGTGAGGGTGTCAGGTCATGTGATCTGACTTACTAATCCTTCCATCATATAACTTTTCACAAGCTAGCAACCTTTCAATCACACAAGCTTTACATCTTTCACAGAAAATGCATCACATTGCAAAAAAAAAAGTAAGAAAAGAAAGACAATATTATTAACAAGAATTCAATATATGAATATGAAGATGACAGATTCAATATAATCTCACTTATATACATGTTCGCGATCTTGTATTCTTTTCACTGAGTTAGTTACAGATAATGATAATTCTTCATACTTATACTCTATCAGTGAACATTCTTCTGAAGCATTTAAAAGCTTCATTGATAAACACTCTGAAACATTCTCTTAATTTGAAGCTGGTTTGAATACAGCTTCTGATATAGTTAGACAAGCTCTCTGATCTACTCAATAGCTTGATACTGATTCTTATGATGAGAATGATGAATACTCAGATATCTATTATTCAGATAAGAAAATATCAGATTAACAGATAAAACATCTCAAGATAATATTTGAGATGAAGAAGAAAAGATGAAGAGTTTCAGAACTTGAACTATATCTGGAAAAACTTTATCAATAGAAAATCTCTATAGATTAATCACAGAATGTTAACAATTATTTTATTATTATCTCAATAGCTCATACAGCTACATGAGATTTTAATCTTAGTGAAAGGTTGAAATTTAATCTCTATAAACTGAATAGTCATATTGATAAGACAATCTCTCAATTTAAGAAAGATGTTAAGAATACTGTGAGATCAAACAGTCTAACTAACACATTTAATTATATTATATGAAATATCTTCATGAAAGTGAAACTGATTGATGCACAGTGTTACTATATAATAGAGAAATAACAGACTTAGAACTCTCTATAAAGAGATACTGAATGAGTATCATTCTGAAGTATCAGAAATCAGTGACTCTATACATTCATCTCAAACTCACTGAGTGCAGGTGTCAGATCATATTTCTTTAAATATAATGAAAATCAGATTGCTTATATTCTCTGAAATGCAATTAAACAGAAATACTCTGTTCTTAAAACACAGTTATATTATGAGACAGTTCTGAAATTTATATTACTTAATAATACACAGATCATCAATCTACATACATTCTTTAATAAGTTTCAGTCTGTCATTATAAAATTGAAGATGATGAATGCTTTTCTCTCAGATGCATGAATATTTGATATCTTCTACTCAGTTCTACTCAACAATTGAAGAGATTATGTTCAAAAGAAGATAGAGAAGATACAGAATTCTAAATTCACAGCTGTGATATTAAATGTTGATCTTCTCATGAAGAAGATTCACTTACAGCTTAATTCTTCAACAAATAAAAAGAATCTATAGAATATAGATTCTGCAGCTAACTCTGCTATAATAGCTACAACAGCTATAACAGCTACAATGATTACTATATCTATCAATTCTAACAACAATACATTGAATTCAGCCTGTGAAGACTGTATCAAATATGATTATAATAGTACTCAAGAGAGCTTCTGAAATTATCAGAGATCAGACAATTTATCTACATATTTTGAATATGAGAGATCTCACTTTGACAACTATTAATTGATTAATTCAGACAGTACTCTGAATAATTGAAGATTATTATTATTCTTCTTCATTTATAGATGTATGCAGTCAGAGACTATGACATCTATCTGAGAACTTTTAATTCTCAGAGTTTTTCCTATATCTATATAGTTAACTATTATACATTTATCAATTTCAGATATGCAAAATCAGAAAATTTCAGCTCAGAATACAAAAACTGTTTATAAATTGCAGTATTTTAACATCTTCTGATACTTTGAAATCATTTAATAATATCATGACAAAAGAAAAGAGAACACAGTCTTAAAGATAGACATATTAAATAGATAGATAGAAAAGAATAAAAAAGGAAAAGTAAAGTAAAAAGAGACTATAACAAATTAAAATTATTAAAAGATAGTGTATAGCTGTTTTAACAAACTATATTTAATTAATTTCCACCTCTTCATATTCAGATACTTCTGAATTCAGCTGTTTTCTTATAGCTGCTTGAGTTTCTGATAAAAAGTCTATTAGATATTTAATTTCTGTCTAAGTTGAGAATAAGAACTTTATATTTAATTGATATAAATTATACTTCTCTTTCAATCTGGCTCTGAGACTATTATATAATGCACAATGCATTACAATATACTCAGGATTTTCATTTGTATTGCAGAATAAGTATTCTGTTAAATCAAATCTATCATCAAATCTTTGTATATAAGATTTGAAATAAAGTTTCAGCTGAATTATAGATGAGAATCTACAGGCGCTAGTTATCTGCAGAATGCATTTTAAGCTAATTACATTTAACTCTCTATAATTAACTGATCACTGCATCTGTTCTCTCAGACCAGTCACTAATTTTCAGAGGTGTTAGTTAGTAACTATTACTACTCACTGAATAGTGTACATATCAAGCTTTCAGTTACTGATCTCAGTCTCATTAGATACTCATAGATCTATTAATCAGTCATCATAGTCTCACTCTATATCAGAGACTAATTATAGACTTAATAACTGCAGTTCTCTTCATCAGTATTAAAGCCTAGTAGTGAGCTTGCAGACTCTAGTCTATCAGAGTTCTCTGTCTAGAGTCTAGATATATATCTAGATCTGCCAGTCAGATGATTTTTAAAATTATTATCTATATTTGAGAGAAAGCTAGGCTTTAATAACAGCTCTAGTTAGAGACTTACTTAAGTAGTATATAATGACTATATTAAGCTTCACTCTATATTGTTAGAATCTTGACAGATGCATAGTAGAATAGTAAGATATTAATATCTTATATCAGCTCTGATAAGTGTTCACAGAATCTCACTTAACTAGTAACTTAGCTTACAGTAGAGAGTTCTACTCTGTATTAAGCCTTATTAATTAGACTCAGCTTCTATTATATAAGAGCTTTCATGAGTAAGAAGTGACAGGTGTCAGTAGTGAGATTAGAACTCACACATCTCTAATGTCACTGTGTGCAGTCTTAATTACCAGTCTTATTAACTGAGTTACACTGATAATAATTGAAGAATCTACAACACTTCAAGAATAAAGAAATTTAAAGAAAAGAAGAAAAAGAATAATAGTAAGAATAGAACTTAACTATTTATTACAGATGATTCTGAGACTTTTCAAATAATAAATCTTGCAGAGAGTATAAATGTATCAGTCTGTTTCATAAAATCTCACAAGAATTCTCTCACTATATGAGATAGTAACACTGAATATCATATAGTAAGTAATAGATCATGATTTTCTGAGCTTATAGCAATTAACAGTTCAATAGTTTAAGTGATTAATAAGATTATTCTGAAGGTTCAGAGTGTTAGCACTGCATTCATAAGACTTTTCTCACACTGCTCAGTGAGTGAAAGATTAATAAAATTTAATCATGTATACTACATGTCAGAACTATCTGCAAATCTGATCTTCACTGAGTTAATAAAGTGTTAGAGCTATATTCACTATAATATATAAGTTAATACTGAAAACTATTTTCAGTTTCTATTATCTATCAACAGTGATATCTTCTATGTTAATCTGTCTTATAATAATATTTACATTCTTTCTAACAGTTCCCTGATATTTTATAATGTAATGAACAATTCAATGTATGAAGCAGTGATATATATAACTGTTTCAAAATTAAAAACAATCTTAACAGATTATGATCTGAATGCAGAGTCTTTGAAATCTTTTAGTCATAATGAGATTGAATAATTAATCAACTCTAAGAATTCAGATACTGATTTTTTTTATATTTTATTTATATCTTAATTATCTACAGTTCTTCTGAAGCAGCTTCTGACAGATAAGTAACATCATCAACTTAATCATATTGATGAAAATAGTATATTAAAAATGATCAGTAATCTGCAATTTGATATTATTATTATCAGTCTGAAAAAACTATTATTCTGTGTCACATGTGTTAAGACTAAACAGAAACATGTATTCTACAAGAGTTTCACATCTAGACTGACTGCTGAGATCATGAATTTTATGTTTGATCTCATTTAATCTGATCTCATACATTTCTTGGCGTGAATCCCGCTGGGACTGGTTATCAAAAAAACATGTAAAGTGACTATATATCAGATCTTAAAATGAAACCATGACTTGAAAAAAATGAGAAAGTGATCTCATTTGGTCTCATTTAGTCCCATTCTTGGCATAAAGTTACTATTTTTAGACATTTTAAGGTTTTTTTTAGACTATTTTTAATTTTTTAAAAAGTAACGCTTTTTGATAATGCTCAAATGAGATTTAAAGTCATTTAAAGCAATAAAAATAATTTAAATTGAGAAGTGGAAATCATGGTTCCATTTGGAAAATGTGATAAGAGTAGACAGTAAGTCTCACTGAAACAGTATGAAATCACTATCTAATGTTAAAACTGTGTAATGAGATCAGTTGAATTAGTAATGAGACTATCAAACAATCTGATCCTGGTCCCAGACACGGTCACACGGTCAGTCTATTCACATCACATCATGTTACCTGCAAGGTCTTGAAGATTTGAGTGACTATTTTTGATAATGATAAGACTCTTAAGACTGAAAATAATATATCATTTTACACTGACAAGAAGCTTGTAATAATGATTATAAATGATACTATCTGTATGAGATGAATATTTCTATTGAAACAAAAGAATGAGATATTGAGATATTTATGAATCTTTAATCAATTTATTAAGAATCTGCTGAGACATGGCATTGCAATTATTCAC